ATCAAATAGTGGACAAGCTGGCTCTCGATGAAAAAGTAATCTCTGATCCTTACGCCGTGTTAAATGAACTTCAAACTTACCAAACACACAAGTTCGCTAAACCTGACAAGGCGACTGCACTCCACACATCTATCTCGACTTCATCGAAACCTTCATCCAATCAAAAGTCGAAATTCCCAACTAAGGTTCTTCACTTCTGTGGCTTTGGAGAACATAATCCGGAGTCAAATCATCCTGAGAATCGATGTCTCGAGAAGTACCCAGAACTCAAGGACTCCTTCAAATCCAGAAAGAATCCAAGTGCAAGTTTTGCTCATGCTTCGGCCTTTGTCACCTACGTCCTTCCTCAGTCATCGAACTCGTTCATCATTGATTCCGCGGCTTCTCATCATATGATTCGAGATCGCTCACTCTTTACCTCCTTCAAAGAACAGAAGATTACCATCAACACGGGTAATCCCTTATCTCCTCTCATCGCTGAAGGTCACGGATCAGTATCTCTCTTAATCAACAACAGAGAATTGATCTTGTCTGATTGTCTGTTGGTTCCAAACATATCCCAACAACTTATCTCCTTGGTTCGAGTGATAAACGACTCCGTCACTATCAAAAAGTGTGGAAGTAAATTCACAATCGTTGACTCAGACGGAACCCTATTCTCTGGACAAGTCGTCGATAACCTCCTTCACTCGTCGTACTCCAACCACCCTTCAGCACATTATTGTAAGAAGGTTGATGACAGCCATGGGGTGTGGCATCAGCGATTGGGTCATCCTAGCGATTCGGTCATGAAGCAAATGAATCTTCCCGACTCGTCTGGATCGACTTGTGAGGTGTGTGTGTGTTCAAAGATGACTCTATCTCCCTTCTCAAGTCACTTTCAACCCGTCCATTCTCCTCTTCAAAGAATTCACATGGATCTTGTTGGTCCAATCAAACCATCTTCAGTTTCTGGTTTCAATTATTTTCTCTCAATTGTCGATCAGTTTTCATCATTTAAATTCGTTCGATTCTTAAAAGCAAAATCTGACACTCTTGAATCATTGAAAACATTTATCAAGGAGGTCGAGAATTCTCAAGATAGCCGTGTCAAAGAAATCGTCTCTGACAATGGAGGCGAATTTACCAGTCGACTATTCAAAAATTTCACAGAAGATCATGGCATCAAGCATATTTTTTCACCTCCTGAAACTCCTGAACATAACGGTTTCGCTGAGCGCGCGAATCGCACCATTCTTGATAAAGCCCGTGCATTGATGTTGACCGGCAACTTGCCAAGGAAATATTGGGCTGAAGCTATCAATACCTCGACGTTTGTCTCAAATCTTCTGTCAACTCCTTCCCGTTCAAATTTCTCCCCATATGAACTGTGGACTAAAACTTCTCCACCCATTCATCGTATTAGGACCTTTGGATGTAAAGCCTATATCTGCGTACCGAAGTCCCATCGCTCATGGAAACTTGGAAAAACTGCTGAAGTGGGTATTCTAGTTGGATTCGAAAATGAGGGGACTGTTTTTAGAATCCTCCGACTAAGTGACAAGAAACTGATTAGAACGCGACACGCTCTATTTGATGAATCATCTTTTCCTAAGTTCTCCGACGATTATAAACCTTCAACAACAGAAGAATCCTTCGACATCTTCACTGATTCTTTTGATGAAGACAGCGACGATGATGATGTATCACCTGCGGTACAACTCAATGATTCTCCACCAATCACTCAAGTTTCTCCTGTGATTCCGGCGGACCTGACAATTGCTGCCTCTAAGCAGATTGTTGGTGATATCTCCTCATCTAACATCCTCTCAACCAAACGTATCAGGAAGCCGACTGCCTTTCACACTGTGGCCGATCTTGACATCCCTGCTCACTACCACCGTGCAATTAATTGCGCGGAGGCAAAGTCCTGGGATGCTGCGATCAAGAAGGAACTTGATGCCATGGCCAGTCTAAATGTTTGGTCTGTGGTACCTTTGACGCCTGACATCAAAACAGTTGGGACCACCTGGGTTTTCAAGAAGAAAACAGGTCACGGTGATATCATTTTCAAAGCCAGGCTATGTGCGCAGGGTTTCTCGCAAACTCACGGAATCGATTTCTCGAAAACTTTCGCGCCCACTGGACGACTGAATTCACTGCGTGCATTAATCTCTTTTGCAGCTGCCAACGACCTTGATTTTCAACAACTCGATGTAAAGACAGCCTTCTTGAACGCCGACCTGAACGAGGACGTCTATCTTTCCGTTCCTCAGGGAATTACACTTGATAAGAAGAAAGTTTGCCTCAAGTTGAACAAGGCGATCTATGGTCTAAAACAAGCGCCACTCGCGTGGTACAATCGCCTATCGACCTGGTTGCTTACAGTCGGTTTCGCTATCTCTGTTGCCGATCCCTGCGTCTTTTATCGACTGGGCGACAATCCTGTCTGGCTCTTCATCCATGTGGATGACATTGCTGTTTTCGGCAAGAATATCTCAACCTTTAAATCGGAAATCAAGGCTGAATTTGACATGAAGGACATGGGTCGGGCTGATCTCCTATTGGGGATCAAAGTACTCCATGAACCTTCAGCCATCATTCTCTCGCAGCTTCACTATGTCAACTCTCTGCTTGCGCTTTATGGCATGACTACCTGTCGACCGGTCGCAACTCCTTTAGTCCCGAATACTCAACTTGATCGTGCTACGACTGAAGAAATCGATCGCTTCAATTCCCTCGGGGTCAATTACCGAAGTGCCGTCGGAGCTCTCAGTTATCTCAGCTCTGCTACTCGACCTGACATTGCGCATGCTGTCAGCCAATTATCACAATTTCTTGAGTCACCGGGAATTACCCACTGGGAGGCATTCACACACGTTCTGAGATATTTATCTGGTACTTCTGATCATGCTCTTGTCTATCATCGGAACTGCTCTAGCCCTCTGGAAGGTTACACCGATGCTGACTGGGGTAACTGTCCGGCAACTCGTCGATCAGTCACTGGTTATTTATCTCTCTTCAATGGCCACCTGATTGGGTGGCAAACTAAAAAACAGCCGGTCGTATCGCTTTCTTCGTGTGAAGCTGAGTATCGTGCCCTCACAGATTTCTCCTGCGAACTCCTTTGGATTCGCCAATTGATTGTTGAAATTGGTCTGGATGACTCATTGCTTCCTACGATTGTGCATGAAGACAATCAAGGGTGCATAGCTGTTGCTAATTTCGATGCGAATTCAAACTCGAAGCGAATGAAGCATGTCGAGATTCAACTACACTTCATTCGGGATGTAATAAAAAATAAAAAAATTATTCTTCAATACACTCCAACAAACAAGATGCTGGCCGATTTTCTGACGAAAGCTGTTCCGCGCCCGGCACTTGTCAAATCACTTCTTGCTTTGGGACTGTTTCGTCTTGAGGTAAGGGGGGGTGTTGAGGTCTAAGCTCCGTAGCTCTAGACCACCTGGTACCCAAGATCGAAACACCGATGACATCATTCTGGCCTGAACTCTGAAAACGGTCAAAGCTCCTGCAATGACATCATTGCGCTTGATCCTTCTCCCTTGTTCTCGCTTCCCTTATCATTCCCTCTCTTTCGCCGATTATTGTTCTTTCTCCTCAGGACTTCATCTCATACATTCCTCCACTGTCGAAATCCCTACTTGATCGTGTTACAAAATCTTACTCTCTAAATAGTTATTTATCCTCGTCGTTTCAGTAAGACGAACCTTACATCTTCCTTCTCCGACTTCCACCCGCTCTCGCATCTTATTCTTTTTATCCTCGTATCGAATCTTTCCCTTCCATTCGACAACTCCGCCGACTACCTCTTCTCTTCTGGTGTTCCCAATCATCGTAGGTATTCGTCGATCTTTCTCTCACTAGTGTCTTAACATTAACCCACTTTCTTTTGTTAGCTCTTTCTATCTTCTTTCATTTGCCATACAAATCATATTGTTGTCTTATTCACCTAGCCATCTACTGCTTTTAGGTGATTATTTTCTCTCCTTTTTTCTTTCTTTTTCTTCTTTCTACTTTGTATTTCTTTGCTGGCACTCATGCGAAATACAAATCTTTTAGTCTATTCATTCACAGATACCGTAATCAATATTGAAGTGCAGCGGTGGTTCGAGCCTTTTAACTTTGATCAAGTTGTGTACTACAGCTCTCGTCTTTTCATTGAGAACAGCAGCTGGCCTGGTAAACAAGAGCCTCAAAACAATTTCAGCAAGCTCGTTGCAGCCAGCCCACACGAACCACGGTTGCGAATTAAGCACCATTGCAATCCAGTTTATGTTATCTCAATATGTGATTTTGAGTGGGAAGGGACGGTGGTACACGACTGGCTGCAGGAGGAATGGCTTCTGTGGCTGGCACCACACTGGGGTTTGAAAAAAAGCTCACACATGCTCCCCAACAAAGCAGGCGATGAGTCATCTATACAACAAGAGAGGCCCATTCAACAATTCTGCTTTATTTCCCTCCCGATTTTCAAAGCTGCTCTGGGGGACAGGGTAGATGCCACATTGGAAAAACTGGTCTGGCTACTTGCCAATATTGGTTGGGATTCTGAAGATCGAGTGGTCCCAGAATGGGCAGAGACTGACCGGGGGTTGATAAGCGCAAGCCAACCCCCCTCGCGCACGCCAATCTGCATGCCAGCAGCAGATTGGCGTGCAAGCCCACACACCAAAGCAGATTGGCGTGCAGGCCTGCACGCCAATCTGCTGCAGGGGAGATTGGCCTGCAGGTTGGCGTGCCTGCCTGCACGCCAAATATATACATATGTGGTCCTAAACGCATATTTATATGTGTTTAGGACCAGGGCTTTCCCATAGGACCCAGGCATGGGTCCTATGGGACGGCCCCATTCATTAGGGGGTTTCAAAATTGCCCCACTCCAGGACCTCGCGCAGGTCCCAAAACCCAGGGAAAAAAAGCCACCTGGAAGATGACCTGTCAACCTGGGCTCCTGCCTAGGAAGACCCTCCAGGAAGGTCATTCCAGGAGCAGGAATCATGCCTGAAACTTGCCACAAGTCGGATAAAAGGCATTTGTACACAGGCCCCAAGGGTTTCTTATGGGAGCCACGAGCCCCCTTCCAAAGGTAAAAAAAACTGAGCACCCAATCGTGTCTACAGCAGAAACATACATACTGTCATATGATCCATCTGCCACCAAGCAAACCCCATCCCTTCAAGTTTCCGAGCTTCCAATCACACTCTACAGCTATGCCACCAAAGAAGACTGGCACCCCAGCGATGACTCCATCCCGGCCCAAGAACTCCCCATCGAGCACACAGGCCAAAAAGAAGAAAACCCCAATCGCTTGGGATAAAGATGGCGCAGGTGGGATGAGCAGCATCAGAATCTTACTAGACTGGCTTGCAGTTGTTGTTTGTGCTGAGCCATTGGAGTAGGATCGTGATACTGCTCGGGCCCCTGTTGAGCCCGTCGGTGTCCCAAGGTAACTGGGGAATACGGCGAATGGACATGAGTGAGTGGAGGATGTCAATTCGACAAATGATGCGTGGATGGTGATGCTCGCCCAAATCCGGGGCAACCAAAACGACCGTGGTCCACTTGGCAGACTTGTGGTTCCACAAGAATGGTGAGGGGCTCAACGGGGGCGTTCTCATGCATTCTGGGCCCCGTTTGGAGACAGATAAATCTGGCCATGAGTTTCAGACCTTTCCTGATCTGTGGGTCCTGGGTACTAGTGGAGAAATTTCCTGCGCTGGGGCTTCAAAGTAGAACCCGCAGGAAGTCATTTTTGGCGGTTTTTTTTTTCCTGGGATTCGGACCTGTCCGAGCTCCTGGGTCTATTTTGAAACCCCCTATTGTTTTTTTTTTTCTTTCAAAAAAAAAAAAATAAGAAAAAAAAAGGCCGACCAGGAGGGAATCCTCCTGGCTGATGAGGTTGTACAACTTTTGTACAACCTTGTTGACCAGGAGGATTCCATCCTGGTTGACGGTACAACCTCATCGGCCTAGGAGGGAAATCCTCCTTGTCGGCAAGGTTGTACCAGCCTTGTTGACCAGGGAGGATTCCCCTCCTGGGCCGGAAAGGTTGTACTGCCGACCAGGAGGATTCCCTCCTAGGCCGGCGAGGTTGTACTGTCAACCAGGAGGGTATCCTCCTGGCCGGCGAGGTAAAGAAAAAAAAATATTCTTATTTATTTTTTGAAAAAAAGAACAATGAGCCTTGTCGACCAGGAGGATGCCCTCCTGGCTGGCGAGGCTGTACAACTGAGCCATGAAGGTCTCAAGGCCGGGAGGAAACCCTCCCAGCTGTGAGACTGTACAGTCTTTGGGATGGGAGGAACCCCTCCCAGCCCGAGACTTTTTTTCTTTGTTTTTTTTTGCAATCCTCCCTCCCATAGGCGTGCGCGAGGGGGGTTGGCTTGCGCTTATCAACCCCCGAGACTGACCCGACTGCCAAACTTTTTATCAACAAGCTCCATTACAACACTCTCACCCCCAAGGAGAAATGCTCCTACAAAAATAAGGAAGGGGAAGAACTTTCATATTTTGCAGCACGAGAATACAAAATAACAGAACAAGAGATAGTTTTTTCCAAAAAGCTGGCCAAAGAGCTGGCCAAGCAACGGGAAGTTTTTGCCAAACAGCTGGCACAAATCCGTCAAACTTTGCAATCCAAAGGTGTTGACCCATCAATACTTGACAAGTGAGTTGAGTAGTGCTAATGGTTACTGGCAGCTCTACTGCCACTCAAATCACACCTATGTATAGGATTCCTTCTGATACTCTCCCCATTCCACCACCAGACTCTAGATGGAGCTGCATTCTAGTCCCATTCAAACAAACATTACAACAAAATCATCCCTTTCTATCAAAACCAACTGACAAAAATGCAGAAAACCAATCATTTGAATCACAGGTTGGCCAAAAGTGGTAGCTGAGTTTGTCATATGTACAATTCAAGTATTAATTCAGACATGATCAGCATTCAAACTGCTCTGCTCTTCCCCCTCTCTTGCCCCTTCTTGTAGCCTTTTGTTTTTCAAGTGAGCTCAAGCATAGGGATGTTATATGTACCTGCCAATCAGGTCATCAGTGATTTTGGTGCCAGTGTCAAGGAGAGATGACTTCTTGACAGTGGGTACATGAGGAGGCAACCTCCTTTATAAGTACAGTGCCTCACCAAAAAGATGGAAAACCACTATTTTTGATAAAAGGGAATTGGCTTACAACACTCTTTTCTTGCCAGTGGCATAATCTGTTTAACTGCATAGGAAGAATTGGAAACCAATGTGTTTCTTGACTGCAAATATACTTCCTATAAGGGCATAAAGCCACTCAGGGCATGGAAAAATTTGTGACCAAGGGATATGCCACCATGATGAGGTTTTGAATTTGATAATTTTTGTAATCAAGAACTCACATACACAAAAGTTGGAAATCAAAAGTTCAAAACATTTATTTATTTGTTAATCTGCTGCTAAGATTTTATGTTTTTTTTTTGTTCTCACCACTCCTTTGTGCATAATATAGATACACAAATATGTAGTACTTTCTATGAAGTGGCTTGGGGTTGAAAGAAAATTTGTGTGAGAAAAAAAAAGCTGCCTCCCAACTCCCAAATACCTTCAATGGACTTCCCTTGGGAGTTATTACCCCAAAAGGCATGCCAAATTTGGGAGTTGACCCTCCATTTGATTTATTAATTTTTTCATTTTTTGGAAGTTGGCTCCCCAAACCACCCCTCACCACCAGGGAAATACAATGATCACTTGATCACAAGTGACGTCAGGCTAAGTTCATCATGCTACTCAGGATGTACCCAGCTCAACTCTAGTTCATGTCTCTGAAGCACACAAAAGGGCCATTTCAGTTGGATTTCAGTAGTACTGGAGCTACACTGGAGTTTCAATCAATGTTAGTTGTGACACAATGTCACCTGTCATCTGATGAGTATTGTTTTTTCCTGCTGTGCGCTTGTCCTGGCAAAGTGGAGAGGTTTTGTACATGGAAGGATGAGGAAATTTTCCTTCCATCTGAGTTTCCCCAGGTTTAATACAAGAACATGAAATATGGGTGAACAATGAGTGGAAGGGATGTAGCAGAGAAGGGAGATAGAAATATATTCAATTAAGATGAATATGATAATGAATATCTCAACATTTTATACCCACACTCCTTACCCCTTTGCCCAGACCCCCAAGCTGCCATAAATAATTAACTCATCACATAAGAAGCACTCAAAAATTCTGCTGAAAAAAAGTTACAGAGGCTAGTGATATCAAATTGGGATTTGAAGAAACATTTGATTGATTGCTTATACACACCTTTGATAAATTAGCCAATATTAGATCACTAAAGGTTGAGCTGCATGAACCAACAAAGAAAACACAAACCTAAAATAAAAATAAGAACATGAGATAAGGTCAGAAATGGAACCTTAAGGCAAGAAAATGAACCTGAACAAAGTTATAGAGGTTAGTGAAGTTGAGTTGAGATTACAAGAAACAATTCAAATGATTAGAAGAAATGGAGAAACTGATACATATGATCCCATTCAGAGAACTTACAATCAATTGTTTTTCAGATGACTATTGCTAATAAATTTTTATTGTGTACTTGAATACAAACTGGCTGAGTTGGTGAACTCTCAAGGCCCCAAATCACACATAGGCCACTCACAGCCCAGATCAGCCCCTATGTGCATTCCCCTTTACAATTTCCACTCTCAACAAGTTTGTCTCAATCATCAATCCTTGCTTGCCTAGGCCAATCTCACCCTTTGAGATAAACTGTTTTTTCTTTTATTTGGCTTACCTTCAATGATACAAAACAGATGTTTCTGGCAGCCCACCCATCAAATCACAGCATATTTCTTAAGGGTGATTTATTGTTACTCATACACTCCACCAGTCCAACTTACAAAAGATAGGGGGACCACAATTTCAGAGTTGTGGAAATCCTGAGACTGTCCTCACTTGGTCCTCTTAACTACCCCTGTATTTGGGAGTTAGAATTTCAATTTGAGGAAGTCCATTAATTGAGACCCTACAAAAACAGTTTATACACAGGCAAAAATGATGACTTTGACCAAGAGAATTGTCAAAAAAAAGCTGTGAACTATGTGGGAAAATTTGATTTTACAGGCTATGTTTGAAATAGATCAGGTAATCATTGGTCATATATATAAACCAAAACTTGAGGCAGTGGAAGAAATATAGCATAAGTGAAATTTTAGTATGGATCCTCTGCATGGCCTGCAAGATTCAACTGTGAAGGGTTGGTTAGTTTTGTGTTTCATTCAATTTTCTTGTCCCCCCAGTAATGTAGGAATGATTTTGGATTTTGATAATTTGCATAAATGATGATCTTGTTGAGCAAATCAAAGATGGAATTTTCATAAAGGTCTTCATCTTCAAGACCCACACCAAACCATTTCCCATTTTCTTTTACCCAATACATGGCCATTTTCCAGGCCATTTGGTAACAGGCATTCCCATTCAACCAATGCTTATAACTCTTTGGATTTCTATCAATCTCCTCTGATTTCAATACAATTGCGTTCAGTGTTGACCATTCATGATTTTTCCGTAATTCGGATTTGGAGTTCTGGGTATCTTCCCAGAATTTCTTGAGGAAAATTAAGATTTCTTCAACCAACTGCGTACTCAATCTTTCTGTTGGGTGTTTCTTGAATAGCGAAAGATAAGCGATAATGAAAAAAGTGGCCACTTTGGTTAGATTTTCTACATATCCAGTGATTGCGTTAATTCTTGACGGGGATATAGGGTATTCGAGATCTGCGGCAGTTTCACCGAGGTGTGTAAGACCAGCTCTCAGTGACCCAATAATTTCTAGGGAGAAGACATCGTATCGATCGACTGCTATTTTGCTGTTTGATACACTCATCGCAATCTTCCAAAGTGCCCCCCTCCTTGCGCCCCTCGTCAACCCTGGAGGATACAGAAGCTTTTTTGATTGTTGATACGATCGAAGAATACTTCTTTCCTCGCCATCCGAGATGGAGAACCGGAGGTCACGTGTCGGTTTGTATCTTAAGCTGTCTAGAAACATGAGAAGCTGATGAAGGGGACGGCCGAGCCGGAATCCTACCCCATCTCTAATTTCGCTGTCTGGTACTTCCCTCACATAGTCCCAATCGTAAACATCAAAGGGTTCAGGCAAATTTCCATTTAGTCTTTGCTCTCGATTTCCAACCGGGAATCCATTCCTCAAATTGTGCGTTGGCCGTTTCACGTTGCCGGAGACAACCGCACGGGCGGATGTCAATTCATTCATTACACTTGAATCTGGCAAATGCCTTGCAGTGTTAAGATGTATCATTTGCCTTTGATTCGACAAAAATTGACTCTGTGATTGATCAAAACCCAAATCCTGGTGATCCCCTTTGCGCTTAAGGTAGGCCCATCGATCACGATATTTTGAGCCCATGTGCTCTTGAAAGCACATTCTGGGCGGCAGTTCTTCTCCACTGAGTCTGCATGGTAGATTTAAATCGAACGTGGGTCTTGTCACGTGTGGGTGTGCGCTCGATCCAGAGGATAAAATGTGCTCTGGTGAAGGTTCTTCTGTGGCGGGCTCGTTCAAATCAAAAAGTTTATGCGTAAGCAGAGCTGAGAGCTCTTCCGTTCTTTGATTCGAGTTTGGTATCATTACCAAAGTCGTCGATTTGGTGAGAACAAAAGCGGAATATGAAATGAGCAATGTCTTCATATCGTTGGAAGGCTTCCTAACAGGAAGATAAGAAGTGAAAATGGAGATTTTTTCCAATAGGATCCGTTGAAGAGAGGCTACGGTGCAAACCGGAAGGTTTCTTATCTAATATGTTCACAAGAGCTTTTGAGTCATCGGTCTGCGGGACTGGCAGGCGGGTTAGAGAAGTGGTGCAGGTCTGCTCCTCAATTTGATGAATGCAGAGACCATCATCAACGACAAATGATACTATTTCAAGTCCCGGCCACTCCCCGTTTCCCGGCCCAGATAAGCGCCCAGCGACTGGAAACCTTGTTTCTGCTGCTTTCCTGAGACGATCTTGGAGAAGGCGCTCTCGGGTAGTAAAGCTCAACGGCGCGGTTACACACAACAAAAATCTCGCGCGGTAACAGTAGAAGATGCGAAGAGTCTATCTTCGCAATCTTATATACCGGTACGGAAGATTGAAACGGCCTTTGAATGGTATTGAGTGAAACAACAATACATCAATGCTTGATAGCATTGCAGCTATTGCATTGAGGCAACTATTTTTTCTGCTAAACCATCGGCAGTGGACACGCCTTTCTCGGATGATTTCATCTTTCTTCCTTCTTCCATTGCATCTGTCGCAGCTGTCCAGCAAGATACCACGATAAGCGGATGAAAAGCTTCGCAGAAGGAAGCCTAGACCGTTCGAGTTTCATCAAGAAACTTCTACCAGTCCACGCCATTCATGTTGCGAATTTTTGACCCTTAACTCGGATTTGAATGGTTGAATGTGATATCGGCCCATGTGGCGTTTCAGGCCTGAAGGGGGTTAGAAGAAGGACTGCGGCAAGGCAGTCAAGTGGGGCAAAATAGCGATACAACCTTGTATATCACTAGATTAGGTTATGGTTCATGTATCTAGCTCTATGTTGTATCGCTTCTCTCTCTTTCTTCTTCTTTTTCTTCACTCATCTGTCTTGTCATCGCCTTCACACCTAACTAGGTGCTTAGTCTTTCTCTTCTCTTCTCATCCGCTCTCGTCGGCCTCCCATCACGGCCTCCTAGCTCACCAGGTTTGCTTTTCTTTCTCTTTCTCTGTCTTCTTGTGTTTGGCCTTTCTCTTTTGTCTGCTCATCATGCAATGAATTCACTCATCTGTCTTGTCATCGCCTTCACACCTAACTAGGTGCTTAGTCTTTCTCTTCTCTTCTCATCCGCTCTCGTCGGCCTCCCATCACGGCCTCCTAGCTCACCGCTGCTGTCTGGTGTTTCTCAGGTGCTTAGTCTTTCTCTTCTCTTCTCATCCGCTCTCGTCGGCCTCCCATCACGGCCTCCTAGCTCACCGCTGCTGTCTGGTGTTTCTCAGGTGCTTAGTCTTTCTCTTCTCTTCTCATCCGCTCTCGTCGGCCTCCCATCACGGCCTCCTAGCTCACCGCTGCTGTCTGGTGTTTCTCAGCCCACACCATTTATATTGCAAATTTTCTTAACCCTTCACTTGCATTTGAATGGATGAATCAATCGTTACGAATCCAGATAATTGACATGCGCTCTACATTCGAGCATAGCAATGCCTGTCACTGAGAGCCCGGAGGGCAGCCCCACATGGTCTCTCTGTATCACAGAGAGGCCTAAGAGCAAAGTATGTCGTGGTGTAGATCCTAAACAATTTAACACTTAGAGCCAATTTTTGTTTGTTTCTCCTAGATTATAGATATTCCCTTACTGGAATGCCAATCCAGTTTCTTTTGCTTCCTTTTATCTTCATGTCTGGCCAAAATGCTTCTTGCGCACAGAACCCTACATATACTCACTGAGTCACCAGGCAGCAAGGCCCCTGAGATTCCATCTTCCCTTGGTTTTCGCAGGCCCAACTGAACATCTGAGTCCTTCTAGATTAATCTACAATGGTCCTTTTGTGCATAATAATTTTTTCATCACAAGAATCCATGAGGAGATACAGAATTACATAAGTTTTCAAACTGTGAATGTTTCAACTTACAGATCCTTCTCTACACAAAATATGGACTAGCATACTTTTCTAAAATGTTGAATTTTTTTGGCTGATATGCAGAGATCTAAATGGGGTTTTTGGCAGTCAAATTGAGGTGTATAATGACAGTTTGAAGGGTGCCAATTCATTACAGCTAATTCCAGAAAAGTTGTTGCACTGGGTGTGGATTTTCCTTCAAGAAGAATTGCTGGATATACCAAATCCATATGCAAACTCAAACTGAAACAGCATGTTTGCATTGAACTTACTGTTTTGGTGTAATTTTGTGGATGGATTTGCAAACTTAGACTGAATATCACTTTATTTCTGCTAGGAAAATCCAGCTCCAGGTGACAACCTTTCTTAAATTAGCTGTAGTGTACCAACGTCCATCTGAATTTGATAGTCAGGTTCCACACCAAATGTGGCACAATATTCTCATGTTACTCCCTACAGCTTGTGGAATACAACAGTACTTGTGCATGCCAGGACCAACAGTGGGCCAGCTGTGCTAACTGTAGTTTTAGCATGGTGTAGTTTAGTAAAAAAAACACTAAATTTTAGTGTAGCATTAGCACAATTCCACATTTCTGTGCTAAATTTTAGCATAGCTTTAGCACCATTCTGTGTATCTGCACTAACGCTACAAACAACGGGTGCACAAAAGCACATGCTATGCTTTTTTACAACACTTTTTAGCAATTTTTTGGCATTTTTTGCTGCTAAAAACGCTCTAGCATAGTGTAAAGAATGGCCAGTGTCAGCTCCGCTACAAAGCATCACAATGCAATGGTGGTAACAGCGCGCTAACACTACACAAAAAAGGGCCCCTGTGAGCGCCACTACGCTAACACTAAGTGGCCCTGTAGTGTAGCAGCCCACCATTGCCAGGAACACTCACAACTGGGGATTGGGGACTTGTGTAAACTTTTAACTGGATACAGGTCTCTGGAACCACCATTTGTCAGCTCTGTGTATGCTACACTGGTTTAAATAATATAAAAACCAGGTGCTATCACTGTGCTGAAGGACTATCAAAGAAAAAGATTACTCTTTTTCACCCTTTATATGTGGTCCAAGTTCCACAAAGGTTAAGTCCACACTCCTTTAAGCTTATTTGTTTCTAATGAACCAAATAACAGGAGATTATAACAATTAATAAATTGTTATAGTTTGGATTTTAAAGCAATAATAATTGCTAAGAAGCAGCTGGCAAGCACTTGAGCTGATTGGCTACTTGTCAGAGGTGGTAGTCTTGCAGCAACTGCTTTATAAGGAATTTTAGTGAGGGATGAAAGGGGAATTTCAAAGTTACACACTAATAATTCCAGTAGTAAAAGGATGATTGGGATTGGGATAACTACTCTAAAAGTAGGAGGAGAATATTCACTGTACTTACTAGGTATGCTGTGGGTAAATATGCTGAGGAACCAATCTTAGGCCAGGAATGGCCTCCTTTTATATTCTAGAGTCCCCCTTGGGGGCATTCTTAGAATATTCTAGAATGTTTATTTAATGTACTACAATAGTAGTTCTCTCATGATGTAATGAGAATATTGTAGTAGATTAAACACAGTATTATCTATGTCCCCATGACATCATGATGCATTGTTATAGCCAATTACATCATGTGTCTCCCTATAATAGAATAATACTGAGGGAAATTACCACACACTTGACAAAGATGGTAATTTCTACAATTTTGAATTATAGTTACACTTGTAGTTGTAACTATATGTTTTAATATTTCCTTTTATCTTTATTTTATGGGCCTTAATAAAAAAACCCGCATTTTCCGCGTTTTGACGCGCTTTTGCTGCGGCACAGCACACGCGCATTCCGCTTTTAAACCCGCATTTTTAATTAATTTTTTTTTGCCATTAATTTTGAGTTTTTTTGATTTTTTAAAGTTGTTTCCTACACTTTAAAAGGTGCAGAATTTAATGGTAAACACCATTTTCCATAAAAATGAATTTTGATTATTAATTATTTTTTCTCACTCATTTTTCAAGTAATTGTTTGCTTTAAGTTTTTTACCTCATTTTTCAAGATTTTGTGTAACTTTAAAGTTGTTTCCTACATTATCAAGTGTGTAGAAATTTATGGTGAAATCCAATTTTCATAAAAATGAATGGATCATTTTTAATAATGCAATTACACCCATTTTTTCACTTAAATTTTTAGAGCTCAATTTTCATTCTGTTTTCACATTTTGTACTTTTTTCCTACACTTTCAGACATGTATAAACTGATGGTAAAAATTATTTTGAATCAAAGTGAGAACTACATCTTGTATACTGCATTTGACACCATTTTTTTTATTTAATTCTTCACTTTTTCACTCAATTGTTTGCAATAATTTTTTTACCTTATTTTTTCTGCTTTTTTGAAATTTGAAAGTTGTTTCCTACATTTCAAAGTGTTTAGAATTTACTGGTAACATTCAATTTCCATAAAACTCAACTGTTCATTCTGAATACTGTAATCAGCCTTAAAATTCAATTGATTTTTAAGAGCTTAGTTTTCATTATTTTTGTACGTTTTAAATTTGTTTCCTACACTGTCAGACATGTATAAAATGATGGTAATAACCATTTTGCATCACAATGAAAAATTGTTCTTGAATAACGCATTCCACATGTCTTTTTAATTAATTCTTACACGCTTAATTATCCTTATTTTATGGAATTTTAAGTTCATTTCCTACACTTTGAAAGGTTTTCAAATTGTTGGCTGTATCGATTTTGCATTCAAATAAAATTTGTATACAGTACAAATTATGCAAGAAATAGTGTACACTCTTATATTAAGATTGAAGCTTTTCTTTTGAGGCAAAATGAATTCTACCATTAAATTCTGCACACTCTTGGATGTAGGAAATAAATTTAAAATTTCAAAAAATGATCAAAATTAAGCCAGTAAAAATCAATCAAAAAAACATCAAAAAAAACCTGTCACACGCAGTATTCATTAAAAATCTTTGGTTTTTATGCAAAAAGATTTTTACCATCATTTTAACCATGTCTTAAAGTGTGGGAAATAAATTTAAAAAGTGAAAAAAGAATGAAAATTAAGCTGTAAAAATTTAAGTGAAAAAAGGGTCTAATTTCAGTATTCAAAGTGAACCGTTGAGTTTTAAAAAATTTGGATTGCGCCATTAAATTCTGCATGCTTTAAAACCTAGGAAATAATTTTAAAACCTCAAAAAAACTTAAAAAATAAAGGACATACATGCATGCAAACAATTACTTGAAAAATGAGTAAAAAAAATAATTAATAATCAAAATTAATTTTTATGGAAAATGGACTTTACCATTAAATTCTACAACCTTCAAAGTGTAGGAAAAAATTTCAAAAAATCAAAAAAACTCGAAATTAATGGCAAAAAAAAATTAATTAAAAATGCGGGTTTAAAAGCGGAATGCGCGTGTGCTGTGCCGCAGCAAAAGCGCGTCAAAACGCGGAAAATGCGGGTTTTTTTATTAAGGCCCTATTTTATATTCTTTTTTAGATTATTTTATATTTTTATTCCTACTAACCTCAAGGCTCTTGATTTATGACAAAGTCATAGAAGGAGTAGGAATTTGGGGGTGGTTCCAGTGAGCAACCCCCTCTAAAATATTATGAAAATTTCATTTATAAAATAATATCCTAGGTTTTCTTATTACTATTACAAGTAATATAATGTTAAGCAGTCTTTTGGATACTCTTGAGGATCTCTAAGGCTGACACCATTGGTGTGTAGGAACTTGATTCCAAGACATGTTTCATCTGATTTTACTATCTCCATCAATTTAACTTTAGTTGTCATCTCATTATCCTATACAGCACAGCTTGCTCCAGATTAAATTTGGAGATCCTGATGGTTGGTCCATCTGTGTCAAATCCCTGGATCTATGAGGCCTATCCAAAGAATGGACCTTTGAATTACCTGGCTTGGCTGACTTAGCATAACCCCTCAATTTAGAGCCACACTGAAGAAATATGTTTGGGTTTCTTCTGCAACCTGATTGCTCATCTATCTTTAGAGTTTACAGTGAATTTCATATCAAGAGTAACCAATATCTCCAAACAGGATGTTCTGTACTCTGAGTAGGCTGGGGGTTGATGGTGTGATGCAGATTTGCACCACAGGAAAATGTGTAAATTTTTCCCTGTAACCACTGAAGCTCTGAAAAAGGGGGTGCAGCTGGGAAGAGAACCTTCCCATATTTGGGTGGTGCTTTTAGCCAAGAATAAAAATTCACAATCCCAAATCAGAAGTCCTCTTTTGGGCAAATTTGGAACTATCTGTAGTTCCATTCTTCAAACAATAGGATTCTGTGTCCACCCAGTGGCAAGTTTCAATGGAAAGCTGACTATAAGGATTTTTTTGGGGTACAAAATCATTTGAATTCAACCTGTTATTCTGCCTGGTAGAGATTACCTTGAGGTAGATAAATTCATTGATGTAACTTTGTATATCTAGCAGATATTTCTCCAAGAGTTACAAGGGACAGGTAAAATCTATTAACGTTTTCCATTCTGAAAAAAAAAAACCTCCCAGAGGGGAAAGAAGTGAAGAATTTTTTAATTCATAGAAAATGATGAGAGATCAAGAATACGTCAAAGATTAAAGTAGCCATGACTTTCTCCTTTGATTTGATTGATTTTTTTTTCTGATGTTCTAGGCTGATTACTGATGATCAAAGTTTTTGAAATACACTGTGTTGATCAGGCCAGAATATTTCTTATTTGATTTGTGGATCTACCTGTGAAAAAAGAAGGTTCATGGAATGAATGTCTGAGTGTTCAAATTTGATACAAGAGCTTCATGTGATTTCTCTTACCAATAGCAAATTACTGAAACCAAGAAATTCAGCTTTTTTCAATTTCCAAAGTGTATGAGCCACCCCAATCCTGCATGAAGGACTGAGGATCCCTATAATTTGCATAAAAAATGATTCTATTGATTAATTCCATTACAATGGAGTCATATGTTTCTTGCTCTGAACCTGCTTCAAGATTTTGATTATTTTCTTTCAACCATAAGAAGGCAATCTTCCAGGCCATGTTATACCAAGTGATTCCAGACATGCTTGATCTATATTCTCTGTGGCTTCTGGTGATATCCTCAGATTTCAATATAACTGCGTTGATCCGCGACCAAGAATGATTTTGCCTCAATTCAGATGTTGCGTTCTGAGTGTCTTCCCAGAACCTCTTGACAAAAGCTAGGATATTTTCAACCAAGTTATCATCTAGTCTTTGAGATTTATGCTCATTGAATAATGTATGATGAGTGATGATCAGGAATGGCACCACTTTGGTTATGTTTGTCACATATTGAAGGGCCGATCCAAGCTGTGCCTGTGTTAGATTGATTTCGGGATGGTCGTCTGTGATGGAGTTTATTACGTATTTTGTAAGCTTCTGTCTTAATGGCCCTATGATTTCATGCGTGAAGGTATGGCGGGTACCCATTCCTAGGATCTCATTGGACACACTCAACGCAATCTTCCAAAGTGCTCCCCTTCTTGTTCCTCTGGAAATACCTCCGGGGTAAGGTAATTTCCAACCGAGATAAACGTGAAGGATATCGGGTGCGTTTTCCCTTGTTATGCAGAACTTGAAACCGTCCAATTTCGCATGCGTCAATTGGTTCAAATCGTTTAGCAGGCTTAAAAGCAATTTGCTTTGGTGGAACCCTGTTAAGGCTTTTCTTTGATGGATGTTTTTACCAAGCCCATATTTAGGAGGTGATGAGGCCTTTACGTACTCCCAATTGTCAACAATGACATTGAGTGACTTGGGTGGTGTTCTATTTTCTCTTTCTTGGCTCATGGGGATTTCATATCGCGCCATACAACTTGAATCATCTATTTTTTGCTTGTCTTTTTGCGGTTTTCTTGCATCGTTGAGATCATTCTGACATGTGGTACTTGATCCGAAATCGTGCGACGTTGGCTGGGATGTAGGGAGCCCTTGGTGGATTGATGATTGGTTCTGGACTTTGTTCCATAGTAAGTTATTCCCTGTGTGCTTTGGATCGGTAGGTTGAGTATTTATCACAGTGGCAAAGCGCTCCTGAGGAGAAAGCCAGGGTGCTGGTTCTTCTTCGCTGTATTGTGGATTCATGACGCGAACTGGATGATGGTTTACGGCGCAGGTAGCCGCTGAAATAGTCGCCAGTGAAGGTTCATCCCTGGTGGACTCGTTCAGATCGAGGAATTCGTGTTCACTCACAGCAGGATCGTTCAAATCAAAAAAATGGTGTTCACCAGCGGCGGGCTTGTTCAAATCAAACAAATTCTGGACTTCAACAGTTGCAGGCACTTTGACTCCTTGAGGCGGACCTGGTGGTATCAGTAAGGTCGTTGATTTGGTCAAGAGAAACCCAAAATGTAAAGTAAGAAGCATCTTCATATCGCCTGTAGAGAGCTTCTAAAGTGCGAAATCCGCTTTTCAAACCGGAGCTTATGACAATTAGGCTTGGACGCGAGTCTTTTTTACTTGTAAGAGAGAGCGTGGTTTCGATAAAAGCTAAGTGCCTCTGCTCGAGCCACGGAAAGTTCCAAGCGACTTATGACACCTGACTTGCGACCGGAGAAGAAACCAAACTTTGGAACATGTCAGTATGTTACAGGGAGGTTAGGAGACGAGATTAAGAATAGGTAATCACAGCGTCTGTTTTCCTCTGCCTCGCTTCCGAGAGTGAATAAATATCTAGCAAGCTTCTCGAGGCATTGCTTCAGAAGGCTACATATTTATGTACTCAGTACTACCCGCTCCGGTAATTGTTCAGCGTACTTGACTCGAGTCGTATGTTACTCCAGATGAAGCCTGCCGACCGCGAGGATGCAAGGAAGACAGCTTTGCTTCGATTAAGGAGAGGCTTGTAAGTTCGGATAATTCGCGTGTTACAGAAGCGCATAATACGTAATGCGTGCATCACATTGGAAACACGGCGGAAGCTCCCAGCGTTTTCCAAGGTGTCTTCGGGTAAAACGGTTACAAAGCAATATTGGTCGCAGATTAATTTTTTTCTATCCATAGGTTTAGTGTTATCAATGGTCTTTGGAATGGATTACCTTATCGCACTTATCGCCCGCTTCTCTTTTTTTTTCTGCCTTGTGGGTTGACAGAGGTTGATTGTCAAGGCGTCGCACTCTTGAGGTATTAATGTACAATCTTCCATCTAACCATTGCTATTAGGCACATGCAGACTGGTCCACTAAAACCGGAGGTGCTGAGCATCTGGGTAGGACCTTCAAAACGCGTATCCCACACTGTTTGAAAAAAGCATATCAGCAACAGTTTCTTTCAAAGGATGAAGAACACAAGCCTTTCTCAGATTAGCTTAACGTAATTCCTTTGTTTCAGGGACTGGACCGGTGTGTGGTGCGGGTTTGCTCGAGGCTGTTTGTTTTGCGAAAGATTGGGCAAGAAGAGTGGTATGCTGGACCGGGAACACCAGGGTTTTGGCATGTGCAGCCCTCAAGGTCACTTTCGTGGCGTCCTGGATTCAGACACAACCTATTGGGAGTAGCCGGTTCAACGGCAACGCGTTGAAAACCGAAACAAGCCCGCCCGTCAAGTTTGGGTGATGGGCAAGATAGGAGGAGGAAGGGGATTAATTCGTCCTGCCAAGATTTCTTCGGTGATCAAACGACCAATTTCAATCATTCTATGTAGACATCCAGAATGCATGTGCCCAGTGGCAGCGGCGACGGGACTAACCGTTTGTTGACAAACGGCCAGCAATGACCACCATGCGCAAGAGAGCAAAAAGTGCGCGGAGACGCGCTCTGAGGAACGTGAGGCACGCGAGGCACCCACCAAGGATCGTGACGACAAGCGGATCGATGATAAAGCATCCAAGATGCTCTATTTTTCGCAACCCATGTTTCACCAGACGCAGTCCTTCTCTTCCATCGATCCATCTCTCTACCCATAGTTAGCGAAATATCGATCCATTGACGACACATAGTATGTATGTATATATCATAACAAGAAAAAAAGAGAAGAGCCAACAAACATGATGAACAACAGAAAGAAGAAAAGCTCTATTGATTTTTTTTCTCGGAGAGTGATTTCTGATGACTCTCTTTTGAAGACGAAGCAGCGGATGAGGAAGACACTGTTTGCTTTTTATCATCCGAGCCAGCTTGACCGAATTCATTCACCCTAGAATAATCGACCTTGTAGATCCAGTACTTCATAAACGCAATCGTGCCGGACCAAAAAAAAAAGAGATTTTAGTTTACGTTGATCCATCGTCGAAGAAAGGAAAGAAAAAGAACCGCACCTGATACAATAGAATAACAAATACTACATCATCCCTAAAGCAAGCCAGTCGGTGCAAAACGGGCATCTGATTTTCATTGTGTACGATCAACATGGGATCAGCAAGGCAAAGATATATAGATATATTCAAATGAAAATGGGATAAAAGAACCAAGTCAGATGAGTTGGGTCAGGAAATGATCTACTTACCTTTATACAAAATGCGAAAAAATCATCGACAATTGTGTTTAACGTTTTGTACATCATAGCCTGATCAAAGAGTTTATTTAGGGAAGGAAAAGAGGCGAGGCTGTATAAGTTTCCTAAACATTGGCCAAAGAGAGAGAGAGAAAGAGTGAGAAAGAGTGACGCACTTTCATGGGCATATGGGCGACTGATTTGAGTTTGTAACTATCAAGATCCAACCAAGACATCAGATTCTTGAGATGAGCTACTGAGAGAGAGAGAGAGAGAGTACGGACTTAATCACTAATTGAGGGACGAGTTCGATGAAGCCAAACGCATATACAAAACTGGATAATGTGCTGATCGTGAAACTGTACCATCCTCGATGTTCATGATAAAGAAGACTGTAGATGGTGTATCCCAGTAGACTCGGCACAGTCACGTACGATACCCAGCTGGTCAATCGTTCATTTTTGATTTGTATTGTTCGGATGATGTTAGTGAGAGAGAGGATAAGACGTAAGTCCCAAACCGTCAGTCATATTTTGTCTTGCACATGCATATGCTTTGGAACAAGAATTGAGGATCAAAATATTGAACGGATGCCTTACCGAAAAGCTAGAGCATCGTATCTTGATACAACAGATCAAAAGACATGAACAATGTTAGCACGGAAAGTCTGTCCAAGGAAATCAAGACAGTCGTCGGTCGGGACAAACTCTTGAGTTTTCTTCTCATCCTCCGTCAGAACGTGTTTGTCGGTCACTTTAACCCAAGGCAAGAATTTGATGTTGCCTTGACCATGAGAGACAAAGTTGATATCGACGGCCTTAGTGATTTTCCATGCTTCAATGAGAACGCCGGTTCCTTGACCCCTGATTGTATTCATAAGAAGCTCAGTTTAGTTTTTTCAAGAGTACATATAGCTAATCATTTTTGAGACGATAGACTGGTTGAATAGTCACTGACAATAGGATGATCCAGCTTGTGCCTTCACTATTATCCAGAAGATAAAGTAGGACGACCACTTGAACGAATATATTCGACAGGATCGTTCGAAGCGAAACCCCGACGAGTTCTTTCTTGTTTCTCCAATGAGAAACATCTGAGGAGAATGCCAAGAATTCAAAGCTATACTCATGATGTTCAAGAGGCGACATCAATAATGAACAAGTCGTAGTTGCGACATCTGCTAAAAAAGGGGAACGTCGTGACTCACACCGCATGTAATGCCGAAACGAGGAATGTAGTGATCAACAACCAAGGGGCAGTCTCGATGAACATTCGCTTGATCTCGTCCAACTAAAACCGAAAAAAAATCGTACTGTTAGCGCCTTGGGGTTTCACCGCAAATCAAGAGTCAAAGGAGAAAGTACCTCGGCAGCCCCGCCCGATTTGTTAGCTTGTTGATCAAAGGCAACAGTCATAGATGCGACTAGAGGGAGAACCAAGTCGCACAAATAAGATCTCCATGTATCGTGAAATGCCAGCAAAAAAGGAAGACATATATTTCGAGAAAGCAGTCCACGTACACAGCTGAAACTTCCAATGACTCATAGGTGCAACCTCGACTCTCAAATGCAACGAACTATTCTTGGCGGTAAGGGCAATTAGTAGACATAAATCAAAGATTAGGAAACTTAGTAAGCCAACAATACACCGTGAGAAACCTTAGGGAGGAATGGACTTGTTGAGAAGCTTACGTGACAGTGTCATTGACCGGGGCTAGGGTTTCTTTTAAGATCCAAAAATCGTTAGGAAATACGGCCGGATAACGATAGTAATTTCCTGTCGCCGGGTCCTTCTCGCGCGTCGGTGGAATGTTAACATCTGATCGGAATCGGCGCCGGGGCGAAATCAGGTGAGTGGATGAAAAAAGGTTTTGATTCTTCTCTTTTTTTTGTACAAGTAACGAAGAAACGAGAAAAAAAAACCCACGAGCTTGAACAACGGGCGGTAGCCGGTTCAATGGCAGCACGTTGAAGTCCGAAACCAATCCGATCGTCAGGTTTGGATGATAGTAAGATATGATGGGTGATGGTGCTAAATCCTCCTGATGATGTTTTTAGAGGACCGATACATCAATTGCAACCCTTCTGAATGAATGGATCGGGTAGAAGAGAGACTTACCTCTGGCGTTTTTGAATCATCTTCTGGACTGGTGGTGTTGTCAGACCCGCCCAACAGATTCTTCGTTTTGCGAATATTCCGTTTAGGAAGATAGCGTGTCAACACTGTTGGTATTTATTTTGCATAATCGTTGTGGCCATTCTTAGCGTTACTTTCCTGTCAAACGATGTCGAGCAAAATCGAGGTTTTAGGAACACTAACATTTTTGCTTTCTGTAGACATCCAAAGGGTTGTAGCCAGGCTCCCTGGGATCGATCTGAGCATCCTTTTTGGAGACGGTGATCACAGCCCACAGAGTGCCGTTATTTTGTACTGACTGAGGAACATCAAAATCAGATTCCCAGATTTGTGTCCAATTCCAATCACCAAATCGGATATTGGAAAACTTTTTCCGAGGTAGACCTTGGGGATCCTCGTCAGAATAGATATCATACGATGTGGACAGCCGAACGAGTATGTCCTGATGGATTTGAGAGGAAAAAAATGAACCAAACGGTGTGAGGTCACCTGGAAAAGAAAAGCAGCCAAGAAAAACCCTGAGAGACAAAAGCTTGTGGAAATCAACATACCAGCGGTGTGCCAATCGGCCAGATAGGTACAGTCGTGTACTCTGCTTCTACTTTCGCTGGGTCCTGGGCGGTCGATGGACCGACGGTGGAGGATGGTTTTAAAAAGCCTAATAAGGACCACAAAGCTTATCAATTAAAATATATGTAGATTCCTGAATGGCGTGATTTAAACCTTACTTGAGCTCAGCCACGACGAAGCAAAATAAGCCAGCCTGCGTTGATGTGAAGGTGTGAAGGGAAGTTAGTAACAATTTGAGATTTAGGGGTTTTTTTTTTTTCGAACGAGGCCAAACGACGAACAGCATGAGGGGTGCATTCTTTATGACGGTGGATAAGAATCCGGCTTGCTGTTGAGCAGGTTGAGCAGCCGGCCTAGCCGCCACATCGCCGTTAGGTTTGCTCATCAAGGGACCGTTTCGTCTGATAGAACTTGAATCTTCACGGTGAAATCGATTTGCGGAATTGCGTTTTGTTTTCAATATAAATTAACACTGAATGCTTCAGGATACCCCAGAAGGTTCAAGTGCAAATAATGTCGGCCGATGAAGAATCGAGGGAATGGATAATCATCAACAATCGATCTAGCAATCGAAGGGCCTGATAGGATTTATATCAGAACTATTTGTCAGTCACGAGTGAAATGATCTCGGGTGAAGTGAAGCAGGACAGTCAGAAAGAGAGGAGCTGCTCACCTTGGTCTTCTTTCCACAAATATATCGATGATGATGTCGTTCGCAGTCCTCGATAAGGGGTCAGGTCGAGCGCTGGTTTGATAAGTTCGTGTGAGGTTTCTGCACCCTTCAAAGCTCCCTCGGCCAGACTACATATCAACTTCTCAATCGCAGATGACTGTAGATGACGTAGCCCCATACCACATTCTTCACCTGTTTCCACAACACAGCATGACTACATAAATACTTACCTATTCATAAACTTGTTCCATATTAGCATAAGTGCCATTCCTGCACAATGCTCCCATGCCCTGCTTATAAAGAGCACATATTTGAGCAAGGCACAATGTATCCACCTCATGAGTCTAGTCACTACATTTTACTTTGTTACTGATTGAGATGAAAGCTTTCTTTAATCTGCCATGGCTCATGCTTCTTCAAAAAATCAACAAAAGCGCATCAATGTGGCCACCAGCTCCAGTGGGATCTGGTGAAGAAGAATTTTTAGATCTGCTATCAGTCCATTGGCAACTTGGGCAAGAAAACCATATACATGATTACCTATCAAAGCCATTATATTTTTCAGAAGATCCAGCGCTTCAGTTCAAATTTCCGGATGAAGTTACCAATCCCTCAATTAATCAACAGGGATCACAAACCCACCCTGAGCTCACTTTTGAGGGCGGCACCAGCTCTACCAGAGCCCTTAGCCCTACTCGGGACCTCCATTACAAAGGGGACTATACCGTTACTGGAGAGCAGACTTCTGGCGAGGGCCTCACTTTTAACGGCGGTCCTACCATTAGTAGCAGCACCATTTCTTATCATAACGACGGTCATGCTCCTAGGGGCGGCTCTACTTTGGGTCATAATAGCCTTACTTCGAACGGTGAATTCACTTCCAACGACAAGCATTTAATTCTTCCCTCCAAGCGCAAGGCAGATAGACTGGTCTCTGAGATGGATGAAGATCGGTCTTTGTGGCAGAGGAAAAGGAGGGCGTTCAGGAAAAGCCAGCTGAGGGTCTCATCAGCTCAACGGGCCAAATCAGGAATCTCAAAAGAATCAGATTCCAAGTCCAGTAGATCAGGATCCGGATCGTCGAATGATTTCGCGAGAAACAATCTACAACTCAGGAAATCCCCGGATCAAAATCGCATGAGCGATGTTGTCCAAGCAATTCCGCATCGTCGAGAGAGCAAGCCGGAGTTGTGTCCTAGATTCAGATACCGAATCATTGGGGAAAGCCTCTTGAGTCTGTCAGATGAACAGATCGATTTCAAGGAGTATCCGGTCTTCTCAGATGGAATGGAAAAACTGGATGCAGAGCTCATGCGGTGGACAAGGGCAAAAGAAAACCAGGTTATTCGGAACCGTCATCGGACAGTCGAACGGATCACCAATCTCAAGAAAAATGTCACCAAAATATCTACGTTCCTCATCATCAGTCTACTTTCAAGACTAGATGGACACAACAACGCCTTGACGAACAAATCAAAACTGGAGGAGATCCTGACTTTCATGGAAACATTTTGGGAGGAACGAAAGGCTGGAGAAAAAACATTGGATGCTAAGAATTTTAGGTGGATTTCCACCCTCCCAGATATCTTGAATCCAGATGATAGAATTAATAGTGACACAACTTACCGAGGTTATGCACTTTGGTTCATTACTGCTGAAGAAGTTACCAAATATTGGATGAAAAGAAATATGAAGTTGTTCCAATCTAGTAAGATATTTAAGATGAATGATGGCAAATATGATGAGGAAAAAGTAAATCATCAAATCAAAATTATCATAGATCAGTCAAGAAAAAATAAATGAATGAATGAACAGGGTTAGCAGAAAAAAAAGTACAATATTAGATTTGGGTGATTTTCAATGAGAGTCTTCAGGACATGACTCATGGAGGTATTATTAAATCCTTCTCTTACAACTTACTTCTAATCTAATCTTGGAGAATGTGTGGCAAATAAACAAAACCTCTTCTTCTTAACTGTCCATAAACTTGATTTTTTTGGATCTCTTGCACAAATTTTATGACATAATGCTTGATTGAAAAAGATACTCCAATTTGTGTTGATCCCATCTTTTATGAAACTAATATCAATAGCTTCTTTTTCCTTACATCTGATGTTTTTCATTCTTATAATGATGAATTTCTTCAGCCAAAACCCCATTTACGTACCTCTTAGGGGATAATCACGTATTCCTTATTCAATTCATACTCTCCTATTGCATGAAAACACATCTCAAGACAATCTGTTTTGGTGGCCAAATCAACCTAGAATTCCATCTTATTCTCCTAAGAAACAGGGATGCTTCATTTTTCCTGTTTATTGGCTTGAATTTCATTTCTGTGGAGTGGTTGGCCAAATGAAGATATTTGGACATTGTAAAGGAAAATGAATCTTATTCAAAAAACAATCAATATTGAATGTTACTTGAACCTAAAAGAGGAGGATAAATCAGTCTAATTTTGTGCTAAGGTACACTCATCTTGTCAGTAAATCCTTGTCAGTTGTAACCCAGTAACTCTCTATTAAAATGTTTTGTAATTATGCACATTAATCTCATCTTCCCACAACTTGGAAAATTGACCAAGCAGTATGAAAATCAACCTTGTGCTAAAGTTTGGGGTGTGTTGACAAGTGCAAGCATTTCATTCATGGTCCCAAAGGTTTCAATAATTCAAATCATCTGAAAAGAAATATTTCAATTGATAAACCTGAGTCAATATGGAAGAAAATAGAAGGTAATCTACAAGTGTCACCATAACTGAAAGACTCTTAGCTCATGTGCAATATGCAAAGGTAAGTTTGAAATCATTTGAGCAACTTGTGATCAAGAGTCTCTCTTGAGGAAGGCCTGGAAACAAACAGTTTCAGGGATGTACCCTTCAGGAAAAATATAAATAAGAGAATCAGGTTTCTCCTTGAGCAAGTTGAGCAGCCAACCTAGCCGTAACATTTCCATTAGATTTTCTCTAGATTTTCTCATCAATTCAAGTGGCCCTTATGACCAAACATAGACTGTGAATCTTCAAGGGAAATTTGATTTGTGGAATCCAGTTTTGTTTCCAATGCTTTGGCAAGCTTGTACAGCCTCTCCATCAAACGTACGAAGTGTGGGAGAGGCTTGAGCCCAAAACGAACTGGCCCGCGTGTCACGGTCGAGTTTTTTGGCTTTTTTTGTGCCAAAAATCATAGAAAATCCAGCTTGTGGATTTCTTGAATACTGAGTTGGGCTCAATATGTTCAACATGGAGGTCTTGACTTGTGTCAAGTTTTTTTTTGGAAAAAAAATGAAAACTACACAATTGAAGAATTTTAAAGGAAAATTTGCCAAATGAAAAGTTGGCTGAGCTTACATAAGCCAGTTTCAATTTCACTGCCTACCATGTGAGAATATTTTTAGCAATTTGACCAACTTTAAAAAAATCCACCTGATCCAATTTTCAGGATAAAGCTCTAAAAATTGGATGAGGTGAGAGGCATCATGAGGATTTAAAATCCTGTCTACCCAGCTTGTGAACACAGTATCAGACAGAAAAAAACGACCCTGGATTTGGAGAATGCACAAATATTTTGGGCCAAAAATCAGTTTTTTTTGTATTTGCAGGGTTTTCTAGCCCATTTGAGCTGACAAAATGAGAAAAACTTACCTCACAGCATTGATTAAGCGCTCAAACTAGATGCAACAGGTACTTTAGGGACCCCTTAGAGGTACAAGACTATGAATAATCCACACCTAAACCCATAGTTATGGGTTTGAGTATGGCTTTTGGGAGGCATGTCCGAATACATGCATGTTGGACAATTAAAAAAAAGAACCACTGGGGTAAAAGCTTAGTGGTTATAATTTTGAACTCTACACATCTGTAGGAGTTCAAAATTGCACCGATACCACCACCAAGGCCAAAGTATTGGGGCATATGCCCCCCCCCAGACGTAGTCCCCACATTTCAATTTTGGATTATGCGGGCGGGGCAGGGTCGGCTTTTGCCGTCCGCAACTGTACCTCAAAATGTACAGGTTGTACATCCAACTGAAAGTCTGTTACACTAAAAATTCCCAATTGTGACACACGGTGTGGTGTTCTAAATGGTACAGGCCCCCTCAAGGTCCAATTTCAGAATTCAATTTTCAAATTTTCAATATCCTCAAGACTCAAGATTTCAATATTATCACTTCAAATCCCCACTCAGTCCAATGGTTTCCTCATTTTATTATTTTATTCCATTTCCTCTTATTATTTACTCTTCATGTTATCTTTTATTCATCTTGATTTTTTTTATAATTTTATTTTTCTTACTTATCTTTTTCAAATCATTTACTCAGAAGACAGTCTTGTTTAATTTTCTTGGTCCTAAGACATCTTAGTATGTTGGTTCATTTCACTCTTGATTATTTTATTTTATTTTGTTTTATTTTGTTTTGTTTTGTTTTGTTTTGTTTTGTTTTGTTTTGTTTTGTTTTGTTTTGTTTTGTTTTGTTTTGTTTTGTTTTGTTTTGTTTTGTTTTGTTTTGTTTTGTTTTGTTTTGTTTTGTTTTGTTTTGTTTTGTTTTGTTTTGTTTTGTTTTGTTTTGTTTTGTTTTGTTTTGTTTTGTTTTGTTTTGTTTTGTTTTGTTTTGTTTTGTTTTATTTTGTTTTGTTTTGTTTTGTTTTGTGTTGTTTTGTTTTGTGTTGTGTTGTGTTGTGTTGTGTTGTGTTGTGTTGTGTTGTGTTGTGTTGTGTTGTGTAGTGTGGTCTTGTTTTTGTTTTTTGGTTGAGTTGTGTTGTATGTAGTTAGGGATGTGATGGCATGTCTGTGACATGTCACTCCCCAGAGTCAAAGTTCAGTTTGAACTGAGATGATGGGGAAGCATGGCACTCTGATCTGATCCAAGATAGACCCATCAAATCTTATTGATCTTTTTATTATTGATTCATCTGATCCTCACACACACCGATCCTCAAGCTCAACAACCGCCACAGAAATCAACTTCTGTTGTCCCCTCTCAGAAAACCAACCAACCCCAACGTGTTTTGTTCAGATCACAGCTCAACTCATCCAGACCCGGCCACTTGAAGGCAGCCCTCAAAGCACCATCCCTTGAACCAACTGCCTACCGCCTGGCACAATAGGAGTTCCGCAACGGGCATGTTTGTATTTGTGAAGAAATTTGAACTGAGGACAAGAAGAATTATTTTGAGAAGAAAGAATTTTTTGGGGGCAACAAAAATGAATTTTTGTTGGACTGACTCAGGGGTTGGGAAATGAATGAGAGAGCCAATGATTTTTTATTCACTGTTAGAGCCTATGCGTTAAATAGACGACATACAAGAAGTTCAATCTGTGGTTTGAGAAAAAAAAATGAATATCAAAATGAATAAAACAGATTTAACATATGTCTGAAAAGATGACTGGAATAAATGAAAGTTGATAAAGACTAGACCAGGGTTCAGGATTTCAGCACTAGACAACATGACAAGATACCACACAGAAACTATCAAAAACAGAGTAAAAATCATATGTATTATTTATCTAAACATGATAATTTTTAAAGAAGGGATAGATGGGTTTTTTTGGGATGAGAAGAAAAGAGGCAAAATTCCAACAATTTGTCATAAGTCCCTCCTTCGGAGGCTAAAAAAACCATGAGTGGTCTTCCACGCCAGCCGAGGCCACCAGGCCCTCCAAAGGGAGGGATGAGAGGAGACCGGAGGAGTAAGCTCCAAGGTCTCTGGTGTCCATGTAGAGCCCGGATACCATGGGAACCTCCAGGGAATCCCTCCCTGACCAATGATCTAGGACACTCCGACTGCTAAGGCGATGGCCTAAGACTAGGGTTGATGGCACCACATTTGGAAAAGTGTGTGCCAAAGGGCGCGTCCAAACTTAATACCAAGTGCGCGCCGTTGGCGGGTGCAGGGGTGGCACGCTGGGGTGCTGCGCTATTTCCACATTCAGAAACTGTTTTGCACAGTTTTTGCTGTTTTGTTCTCTTTTTTTTCAAACTAAGACTTTTCTTGCCCCCAAACATTTCTTTCCCGGCCACCGGCTGACTGAACCTGACAATTTCAGTATTGGGTCCGGGGATCAGGGGTCCTTGGGGGCAAAAAAAATCCAATTTCAAGAAACCCCCCCCCCCCCGAAAAAACTGCAATCTTCTATGGGCTGCACATAGAGAACCCCCCAAAAAAGATAGGGTTAGCAGTGCGCACACGCCCCCTTTTTTCATCATTTTGTGCGCGCCGAGAGCGGGCGTGCAAGGTGCCCGAACATTGGCGCACCCTTGAGGTGGCGCCATCAACCCTACCTAATACGTGACATGGGATCTGTCATCTCTCGGCCTCCATAAGGCCAATCAATCCGTCTGGCCTATTTCCCGGTCTCAAGTGATTCCCTGAGTATAAAAACTCCCATCCTGCTCAGAAGAGACAAGACAGCGTCACAATTTTTCACCTGCTCAGTTGCAAGATCTCTTCTGAACTAAGATCCTAGTTTTTTTAGCTCCACCCACCCACCCAAACACACACAACGGAACACCAGTGTGGAAAACTGAGAGGGGGTTAGGCTTAGCGCCTCAAACCCCTCTCCCCTAGCTATCTAGTTCAGTCTCTGCTTGGGAGGGGGTTTTGCAGAGTCTAAGGAAAGGGCAAGCCTTTCCTCAGACAAGAGAGAAGAAAACCCCCTCCTTTCTCACCCCTCACACAGGGGTGACAAGACCCAATGCTTCCTGAAGCCCCGGGTTGTCACCAACCCCTGTGTCATAAACTGAACAAGTAGGTTAGGAGACACCACACAAACCCCCAAGAAGGGGTGTGTTACCTTATTACATCCGT